CTAGAACCATGAGTCATGTTAACCCTGTAATAATTAAATCAACTCTATGGTTATGTCAGCAGCCACTGTCCTAAATACTCTCTTTTGCTGTGCTCAAAGTTATGGATAAGAGGCTACAGCATACCTAATGTCCTTTTAATATTTTCCCTTTGTCAGGGCCCCCTACTGACCCAAAGTATGACCTCCTTTTTAAAAGAACCATGCAAATATTTTGAGATGGGTATCTCCAGGGCTGCTACAGGCCACCTTCTGTTCTTATTTATCAAGATTCATGGCAAATGGAGGTGCTAGACAACAGAGCCTAAGCTTGTATTCTACTATGGCTTTTCACAGTCACTATGGCCTATGAAAAGAGCATCACCATATCAACACCAGTCCGTCTGGATGTGGAAAACAAACAGAAGAGCCCCTGTAAAATTGATTTGCCCAAGGGTCACTCTGGCTATAAAAATAAATACCAGCTACAATCCAAACATACCAAAGATTGATCCTCAGAAAGCAACTGTCATTGAGAGAGAATTGTCATCTAATTTTGCACCTTTCCACATTTTTCACATTTCCTTTGTGAGCCCATGGGCAGTCCCTTAAAGCTGTGTATGCTGGCAACTATACACAATCAAACATTATGTTCTGAATTAATATCTGAATTTTTATAAAAGTAAGTTTGCCCCAGAGAAACACTGATTCCAAAACCCAGTCCCAGTTACACTGTCTATACACATGCTTCTGGGGGAGGGAGGTGCTTTAATTAGAGCAGCTCCAATGCTAAGGAGCTGCTCTAAACTTATGTAAACAAAAGTTATACATAAACTGTTTTAAGTGATCAGAAACTGGTTTCAACCTGCAACAGAACAGGAGCTCAGTGCACATAAACCAGTTTCAAAATGGCTGAAACTGTTTTAAGATAAACCTGGTTGAATGTAGTATCAGACTTAACTGATTTGGGTCAAACCAATTTATGGAACTTCTGTCCCAGGCCCCTTCCTGGTTCAAGTTAAATCACAGTCCCCCAACATGCTTTACAGCCCCGGACTGGGCAGTGCTATCTGCTCCAGAGAGCAGGGCTGGCTCCACCCCTCTGCTCCCTAGCTGGACAAGTGAGGGCTGGCTGACAAGGTGGTGGTGGGGGCAAGCCCAGCTGGGGATGCACCCCTTGTCTGCAGGGGGGGTGGAGGGGTGCCCCCCCCAGGCAAACCCTTGGCTGTGGGCTGGGGCCAGGGAGGGGGGTTAAACAACTTTTCCCCCACTCAAACTTACTTCTGGCTATAACTATGGATTACAAATCCCAGAGGCACCTGGAAGCAGGAAAAGGAAGTGATAAACAGCCCTGCAGAATCCTGCTGCTATAAGTCTGGACTGCAAATCCCAGAGACCTTGGAGGCAGCAGAAGAGGAAGTGAACACATAGCCCACACTGGCTATGTGCCAGAGAGCCATGTATGAGTGCCCCCCCAGCTTCTGGCTTGAGCCAGTGTTTCAATTTAATTGGTGAAGCTTAGATTGACCTGCAAAGACTGAATCAATTCAGCCTCAGGCTTTTTGACTGTCTGTATTTAGCCCAAGAACCTCTCTAATTAAAGTGCCTGCAGCATCACATATATTCAGCATTCCAAACTTCAAAATGGTGGGCGGGGCACTTGAACTAAAGCTCATTTGACAACCTTTAAAGTGCCCCCACCACCACTGTGAAGTGTGGGGATGCTGAATACAAGTGATATGGAGGGTGCTGGAGCACATTAATTAACATGTTCTGGTAGACTCTGTTAACTGAGTCTGCTCTAGCACGTGCTCATTAGCATGTGTCAGAGCAGACATCTGGCACATGTATAGGTGCCCTCAGATTTTCCACTCCTTTTTTGACTCTATGATTCTCACAGACCACAGACCACTCTTTTACATTTCCCTTACACACATACACAGTGACCCACCCACTCTTGTCATGGCTTCTGCAGCACTAAAGTGACCAACTTCCAGGAAGCAACATCTGAGACAAAATCCTGGACATGCTATAGACCTCCAAAATGAGTAGCAATTTATACCACTATCTGGTTCCCATTACTGTGGTTTCCATAGTGAGGTGCTTCTGATTAACTCCATTGAGGGGTGGAACTAATATGCTATGGCAAAATCTTGTATAAACATGCCTGTGTTGCTCCATACTTAGGAAGCAGCCCACAGCTACTACCATTTATGCAGCCCTGTGCCCAAGCCGATGACTTTAGGTGCTGCTGAGAGGCTGGCCTGTGCTCAGTGCTGTGTGAACATATTCTTAGTGCTTCCAGGAGGCAGCCCATGGCCTATTAAACCACTATATTGTCACCTACCAACTGGAAGCAATATAGCTGTGTTCCAATGGCACCAGGAGGCAACATCTGCTGCACCTTCACAGCAGAAGTTTCATGGTTGTTAATGAAACAGGGGTTCCTAAGCAGCTGGGAACTACATGCAATTGCTTGGCTAGTACTGTCCTAAAACTATCCCTGAGCAGAACACTACTTATTGCCAATCCAGGACAAATGTTCTTGAGGACTGACTCCTTTCAGGAAGCCTTGGAGGCACAAGGACACAGCCCCAAAATTCAGGGCTGTCCAGGATGGTTGATCAATCACTTTTTCTAGCACTGGGTACAAGACAATCAACTCCCTCTCTGATCTCTTGGTTCTAATCCTCTAAGGGAACTTACAAAACATCTTTCATAGATAAGCCTATGAACTTCACTTCATTAATCTACTGGCTCCAAAAAATCATGGACTCAATATAGACATTGGATTTATGACACACTACCACCTGCCTGACATCTGATTCACCACATACCTGCCAGACCTGACCTCTTACACTTGTCTTCCCCCACACTTCCTCCCCTCACCTCCTTTTCTGCCCTTTGTCTTCCTATTTTCCAGCTATTTACTTTTTCAGTCAGCCTCTTTTCTACCTTGAATTACTACTACTGTAGAGTCTCCCTTACTCACCTTTGTTTTCTTCCCTCTGCTTCCCCCCTCCTGTCTCTGCTCTATCTTTTATTTTCCTAATTTCCACCTATTTACGTACCCACTGACATCCTGTCACCCTTTTAGCTTCTCGCAGAGACTTCCTATGCCTGAAGAAGGGTGATTACACCCAAAAGCTTGCAAAGAACCTTTTTCCAACCACACAGTTGGTCTAATAGAAGATAGCACATCTATCCAAAGAAACCTGCCTGCCTATGTCCTTAGAGCAACATGGATACAACCAAAAACCCATTTATCCAGTCCCCTAATTTAGTTCTATTCCTATTTACAAACCAGGCAGGTTCCACTGACAACCAAGCAGTTATAGAGATAGCTCAATGCTTTCATAAGCAGACAGCATCCTATTCAGGGTTTTAAAAAAAAAAACAGTTTGGGAAGGTTGTAGATCCACTCTCCATTTTTTGTTTGTTTTCATAGCTAATGATACCTTATTTAGAAAATCTTGGTTACTCCTTACACATAGGGAAACTTCAAGGATGCATAACAGCACCCAGGGCTCAGGGGTCTTCAAATTCAGATCCAAGCCTGACTATCTGTTCTTTTAGCTCTCAAGGTCTACAAGACCGAGCCACTTTGCATAGGTCATGGGCATCTTATTTTTACATGCTGTCATTAAGACTGAAGAGCTGGCAATGGATTCATTTCAACTGGGGCTCTTCTTTAAATTGTTGAAGTTATTTAAAATCCTACCTGATTGTCCAAATGCCAACTTTAGGCCCATGGTTCAGAAAGTATAATTTATAATCCACCCCTGTAGGAAGGCACTGGGTTTACAAAGACAAAAATGACTGCTGCTGACAAGAATGTGAAGAGTAAGTGAATCCAGAAATTAACTAATTCTATCAAAGAACTTTTGTCTTAAGATAAGATACTCAAGCACCTTTATCTTAAAAGAATAGGTTATTTTTCCCCTTTGAAAGGCATCCTGTGTTTATATGCAAAGATCTCCCTTTCAAACTAATTTTCCCTCTAAGGTGATGAATTTTACCCGGATGTACATTGCTCAAAAGTCAGTGCCCATTTTAAAAATGTCATTGCATCTCTATTCAGCAAAGCCCATTTTTAAGGGTCCAGTATTCACGGAGCCTGTGTATTTCTCCCCCTGGGAAGTAAAAAGAAGAAAAAAAAAATTATTCTACACTAACGCTGGTTAATAGCAGAAATAAAGAAAAATGACAACACTTTTAATCTACCATGATCCCTCCCAAATACATTTAAATTTGTAAAGCAACAAGAACATTTTCACAGACAATGGTCTGGAAGTTACATTAGTTCCCAGGGAATTTGTAAAGAGTTTTTCTCGTTACCTTGGTAACTGCTACCTTGGCACCCTTGTTGATAAGCTGCACCACATTATCCACTTGGCCTTTGTATGCAGCTATGAGAAGGCGTTCTGAAAGCACAGCGACCACATCCTGCTGGCTCATGAATTAGGAGAGAAAGGTTTTCAGGGCAAGCAGTGGGCAAGTTCTTTTAGTCCAAAACAAAAGCTTCAGATCAGTCCAAGCAGTGTTCACAGAAGCCAAAGAGGGACTCCAGGTCACTGGAAGGTGAATTTATTACTATGCCATTTTCTGGACCTGTGGATTAGAAAACAAAACCACTATCAGGAACCTTTTTCAAGCTGAAACACTGTGGCAGCTCTTAACTGCAACTCTCCAATGCTCCTGGATTTTTTTTCAGTTGGGAATGGACCACACAAAGAAGGACAGAGCATCCTGAAGCTGGAATTATTGCTTTTCTACATTCAACAGACTGGGATTTTTATACAATGCATTTTTGTGTATATCCTCCCACCTCCTATCTCGTTTCTCATTCACAAGGATAGAAGCAGAATTATGTTCCCACATAGGTGCTAACTCCATGCCACAATGATGATAGAAAGACTCCAAAGACACTGCACTATACACAGATCATCCCTTTGCAAGGTATTCCAGGCAGGTTAGTTGTGAGACAGCCTCTCTTCCCTAGCATTCCCTAGGTTCAGATTTCTAGGATGCTGAATCTGAAAAACACTGAGCTTTAGGGATCAAAATCCATTCCCTTGCAGGGATAAAATTTCCCAAATTACTATTTGAAAGTGTTCTTGCTTGAAATAACTGGAATAACTACAGTGTGCATAGTGCTTATTTCCCTCCTTTATGAAGATACAATAAACTTTTTAATATGCAACTAGTATTTCCATTTTGTTTAGTTTAAGCACATTTTGTGTGAGAAGGAAATTATAATGGAATATTATCTTTTTCAAGTGTTCCTTACTATTTAATAGCTCTTTGAATGATTATATGACTTGTTTGGTGGTTTCAGCATAGTTATTAAAGAAACACCCATATTATAATCCCACCACAGTATGTTCTGTTATTTTTTTTGGTCTGAGCTGCAGGTGAAATCATGCACTGAACTTCCAACCTCTACAGATTGAGGTATATTAGTGGGACACAAGGGCCAGGGACAGACATTACACGTAAACCAGTTTAAGTGATCAGAAATTGGTTTAAACCTGTAACAGAACAGACATTCAGTGCACATAACCCCGTTTCAAAATGGCTGAAACCGGTTTGAGACACTGGCCCCAGAAGGGAAGAAGTTTATTCCCCACCTCCCTCCCTATCCCACCAGCATGGACCTGCACTTCTCCATACTCGCTGCTCCAGCAGCAGAGGCATAGCCAACTCCAGCAGTGGCCTTGGCCGAATTAATTCCCTCCTCCCTGGCCCACCAGCAGGAACCCGAGCCAGGTCTGCTGGGCACTCTTCCCTTGCTGCTGCAGCGGCAAGCTAGCATGGCCCCTGGGGCAGAGGGGGCAGGGAGGCTGCCCCTGGGAGACCGCAGCTGGGTTTGCCCACCCCGACCACTGCCGCTGCTCGCTCCCTGCTTGGGGCAAGGTGCGGAATAAGGCCCCTACTGCCAGAAGCCAGAGGGAGGAGGAATAACCCCCCTCCCTGCCTCCTGCCCAAAGAGCCCTACTGGCCAGGCTCTGGCCGCACCCCTACCAGCAGCAGGGCGGGGGCACGGCTATGCGCCAGCTGGCAGGGCCCCTTAGGCGGCAGGCATGGAGGGGATTATTGCCCCCCTCTTCCCTCCAGCATCCAGCGGAGGGGGCAGTAGGGGGCTTATTCTGCTGCTTGCCCCAAGCAGGGAGCAAGTGGCAGCAGTGATCGGGACTTGCAGACCCGTCTGTGGTCCCTTGAGGGCAGAGATGCTAAAGGGGGAAGAACCCCCTTCCCTACCCCTTCTGTCTCAGGGGCCATGCCAACCCACCTCTGACTTCACCTGGCCCTGCGACTGCAGCAGCAAGGGAAGATCCCAGCAGATCCGGCTTGGATCCCTGCCAGCGGGACAGGGAGCAGGGAATTAAACTCCGCTCTGGCCAGTTCAGCCAAGGCTGCCCAGGCTGGCCATGCCCCACCCCCAGCACAGCCCCCCTGCAGCTGAAGACATGCTCTAGCAACCCCCACCCCTGGCTCCTGACCTGAGCAACTGCAGGCATGTGCCTGCATTTCCTCAGTCCAGAGGGAATGTCTGTACTGTTACAAATTGGTTCAACCTAGGCAGGTTAGACTAACCTGCAAAGGCTGAATTAATTCAGGCTCTGGCTTTCTGAATGTCTGTCTCTAGGGTAAGCTAGCAACAAACTATCTCCCTCCTCCCCCTCCACCCCGCATGATGTTACTAACCGACATCAGTATCAATATCCAATGAGCTAAACACTCTGAATGAGATTCTTTAATACGCACCAGTCTTAAACAAAGGTAAGATCTACTAATACACTTTGGCAACACAAAACAGGTTTAAACCCAGTAACTGGCAAGCTAAGTGGGGTTCACAGTTGCTTTGCCCCACTTGAGCATCCACGTACACCTAAACTACACTAAATAATTTTTTCTAAGGTTGTACACAAGCTCACCTGTTTTAAATGTCTGCTGATGCAAGCCAATGTTTTAAAATATTTTTGAGCTGGTTCTAATGATCACTTGGCAGCAACAGATAATAACAATCCCTCTATAGCAACTTTTATACCCACAACTCAAAGTGGCTAATAAATATTCCTGAGAATCAGGCAATTCTGTTTACATGCATTTTGTAGTAGTGTTAGAGCGAAGGTATAGCCATGTTGGTCCAGGAATGAAGCAAGGATTTTTTTAGGTTTATATCTTTTATTGGATCACAGTATAGCTGGAATAAAGTTGGACAAGTTTTCAAATGCAATGCATTCATCATCCATTCTGGAGATCACGGAACAGGCACACAAAAAGTTTAATGATTTCCCAAAGCCAATAACAACTTACCATTAGGGCCTAGAAATGATTCTCAGAACCCAGTGCTCCAGACCTTGCTCTGAATATTAGCTCATACTGTTTCCGTTTAGAAGCCTCAGGTTTCATTTCCACTCCTTTCCTCCTGATTTCTAGGTTGGGAAGCAATGGGGGAGTTGCGGAGGCAGCACACTGAACCCCTCTGTGGAAAGACTGCTTGGTGGGATTCAAAGGCGATACAACCAGGGGTAAATGAGGAGTAGGATTGTTTGTCTGGTGTTCAGCCAAACACCTGATGGCTATGCTAGGACGTCAGACTATAACGAGGATAAAACAGACAGAGTCCTTATATCTGTAATGGGTGTGCAGATGACATCATCAGCATACAAAACCCATTGTTCTTTTCCAGTTTGATAGCTAGTTCAGTGCCACAGGTGATATTTACCATGCTAGGATGAGCCCTATATGCCATGTGCCAGATTAGAAAGCCATGAAATCTATATGGAATGTAATAAATTATGAAGAAAAATGGATAGTTAGATCTTATCTCCTTAAACATTCACTTTTCAGTCTTTAATGCCATATAAATAAAATGAACCAACCAGATCTGTAGTTATTGTCATAAATGCATCCACATTATTTTATTCACATTCCAATCCAGTCATTTGACTAATCCAGTGTTTTTCTCATTCCCTCCCCTTCATGACCATTATCCAGAAGGAGGGCAAACCTTACAACAGGACTCTCTCTCTATAAGGTCTTTAAGTAGGGTTGGGTATTTGACCTATCAAATAAAGTTCAGTCAATTAACCAGTCAACTATCAGTCAAAAATTGTGAAAAATAAGTCCAAATAACACAGAGAAAAAACACAAATTTTTCATTTTGAAATGTGACAAAAAATAATAAAAATAATATTTTTGTAAAAAAAAGAAAAACCTTCAAAAATGTAGGGTTTTTTTGTAAAACTGCTATAATCTTTGAGCAGTCAAGAATATGCAGTCAACTGACCAGTCAATTATCAATATTTAATAGTCAATTGACCAGCTTGCCAACCTTATCTTTAAGCAGCAATGTTTATTTTTTTGCCAGTGTGTGTTTGTGTAACAGGGGTGTCTGAAAACATGCTCGCAGGCAAGCATACTATGGTTTCCAGCTCAGTTTTACAGCTACTCATTTACCCCTTCCTCATTTGCCCTTATCTTGTTGCTCATGCCATTGGAGATCTGTTCATATACAACTATAATTGGCTTTGATCATCTTAAAAAATCTGTGACCAGATGCTGTTTATTTTGTTTTCCTTCCAAAAAATCAGTATCATCTGTGAGATACGGAGAGCTTAACAAAGAGTATCTCAAGAAAGAACAATGCAAACATCTTCCTGACAGTCAGACATGACGGAGGAGAAATCAATGGAGGCACTTTGCATGCTTTAACCATACAATTAGAAATGACAGAAATGCCCACTAATACTCTAATGACTTGTGGCTGAACAGGTGTTTAACATCAACGCTGCAAAGTCAGGCTCTCGCATAAAGCTGCTAACAAATCAAATGTTAGAGATTATACTCACTTTTTGGTCTGATTGTTTTCTCTATCTATCTTGCTCTCTTTTCTGATTAGCGCAGTAAATTCTTTCTTGGAGAGATCATTAGCCTCTTCAGCCTGCCATGCTCTGTGATTCTGTAGTGATTTACAGTTACAGCATTGCTGCTATAATGTATTTTTCCTTCTTGCCTCTTCCACTGATTGAATCATGTATTAAGCATATTAAAGAATCGATCTGACTAGAAATCTTTTATAGATTTTTGCTGTGATATTTATGCCTCCTAAGTCATCTTGTCCTCTTTCTCCTTTGCAGAAGCGTGTTGACCTATGAGTTACATTCCTGTTTTTTGATCCTTTACATTTTTTCAGCTACTCTGAACTGTGGATTACTTGCAACTCAGCAGAACACACTTGACTGGAATAGAGCTTGAATGACCAAGAGATCCATTTGTCCTCTCCTCCGAGGAGATGCAAAAGAAGCAGAGAAAAGGGAAACTCCATCTGCCTCATCTTTATTCTAACAAATAACTCTTTCCCAGTGCAACAGATGCATGGAAACTCCACCTCAACAAATCCTCTGCTGGGAGTCACTTCACTACAGCAGGAAGACATCAGCACTTCCCAGTAATATTTAACCCTCTGTCTACCTTGCATACCTATGTAATTTCCTTTCTTAAATGTTTATGTTGTAAAAATAGAAAGACAACACCTGTATAAGCACTAAAACAAAGCTCATTATACTGCTGTGCTTTTACTCTAACACTGTGAAAAAAGAATTCTGCAATATGATATATGCTCCATATCAATTCCTTGGTGCCAGTGATCTAGGTCCAGGTGCAGCTTCCTCATGAAGCCAGCAGAACCTACAAGTCCTGACTTCCCACAACCTGTTCTAACCAACAAGCTGCAAAGTTTCAATGCCAGACTCTGGGTCGATAATCCTACTGCCCCCTTGCTTCTTAGGCCAGTGGGGAGCACTGAAGCATAAGAAAATTCAATCTTACTGTGTCAGTGAGATTAAAGTATTCTAAATTTAACCTCTTTTAAATTGAAATTCATCCTTAGTGCACCATTGTACCTAGAATCAGATCTTACCTTGCACAGGTTGGGAAAACAATACCCACTTCCTGAATTCCTCAAAGAAAAGCCTGCCAAGTATGATGCCCAGAAATGAAGGAGCATGGCTCCACCCAGCAATCACTTCTGAGAACAATTTGTCCGGTAAATCAGTCAAGCATGAAAAAGGACAGCTCTATTGACTTCATAAATTAATATTTCAGACCCATAGCAATGAGACAATGCTGTGAATCTTGTCAAGTTCTCCAAATATCGATATCTAGCAATACCCACAGATTGGAGCAACTGGATGACTCATACAGTGCCATATACACCTCAGGAAAATTTTGAACGAAATAAGGTGGGTGGGTGGCTGGCTGCTCTGTAACACAACGATCAAGCTCTTCAGATTCAGTTTTTCCTATCTATAGCTCAAAGAGCAGGCAAATATCATACCCTTGCACATACCCTCCCCAAGGACTATTCCAAGACTGGCTGATCAGTCATATCACCCATAAAGAAGCTCAAGCAGCAAAAAGACAAAATAGTTACCTTAAGATTAAAGTCCAAATAAGCTTGGAAAATCTGAATATCATTTCTCAGGTATGTTCAAAGCCCAGAAGGAGCTGGTAATATCATCATATGAAGTAGGCTAAACATATATATGCCTCTCTGAGCAAATTAATCTCTAAGGTACCACCTTGCCCTCCCTTCTGCCAGACTTCAGAATAACACAGCTAACTACCTCTCTCTAGTTCCATATGTACAGCAGATTAGTGTGGCACTTCCAAGAAATATAGTAAAGGTTTTAATGGGTGCATGCAGACATTATACTTAGACCAACCTAACTAGGGTTAGATCGATTTAAGTGCTACAGAGATCAGGTTAACTCATGCCCAATATAAACGAACATATGTACACATTTGGAGCACAGGCCCTGGACTGGGAAAGCTCAGCTGTTCACCCCAGCCCCAGGGCTGTACTTTTCCTACCCCGCCACCCCGAATGGGCTATTTTTAGCCATCCAAGCTCCCTACCCACAGAAGGAACAACCATCCCCTGCAGATTGACCTACCCCAAAACCCAAACACCCACCAGCCACCCTGCAATCCTGGCAAACCCCCCTAAGACCCACCAACACATCCCCTGTCCCCCCTGCCAACAGACCCACTATCCCCTCCCTATTCTGCCTGCCCCTCCCTCACCCAACTTATTTAGATGGCAGTCCTGGCAAAGCTCCCAGCACCAGTGAATGTGTGCACAAGTGAGGAGCCAATCACGTGACTTAACATAAGCTGTGTGATTGTAGATTGGGTCCTTGTGAATGTGTGTACATGCCCAATATCACTCACAGGAAGTAAGTCAGGTGGCATCATAGTGACTAACTGGTTTAGAGAGACATGAACTTTCATAGGCCACAAGCTGCTTTGTAAGATGCTGTTCCAAATTTCAGGTAACATAACTTCAGACGAACACAGGTTCTGACTTCAAACTAACATGGCCAAACATTCCACTTGTGGGAAAAACATCATTTTATGGCAATACCCATACCATTCACTCTCTGTAGCTTCAGAAGAGGCCAAAGTTTCAACAATCACAAATCTATTGACTTTACAAAATTCCACAAACACCAAATAAAACCAGCAAACAGGAACAATCTTGCACCAGAAAACAAAGCATTACTGAGTTGTTAAGCCCAATCTAAATAAAAGAACACTTACATAGCCAACAGAATTTATATTGCGTGCATCCCGCTTGATATCAAAGTCCATATACAAAACGTAGAATTATAACTGAGATTTTTTCTGTAATAAACTTAGAACTCCAATCTTCACCTGCTGGTGAAATGATATTGAGTCTTTTGAGTAAAACAAACAGTAATCTCTAGGTTCTTTATATACAGTGTGAAGAACAAAACAGGATTTGTTATTAAATGGGAATCATAACACTACTGAAATCATGGACTCACTAGGGTCATTTCCATAGTAAAATGGTTAACCTGTTTCATAACAGCCACACTTATTTTAAAACACCTTTACGTGCTCTCTACTGCAGTTGTCATTTGCTCCAATTGCTTTCAATGCAATATGTGTTTTCCTATTAACACTTATAAAAATCTATAAAATGTTCTCTTTCTATGATTACCTTAAGATTAAGGTGAAAATGCTCTCATCAGAACCAAGGATGCTGGTTTTCTCGATTTAAAAATTGCAAATTCTCTTATTAAAACCCCTGAAATCCGCATTTTTTCTGTGATTAAAATGAAATGTTGATCTAATACAGGGGTGGGCAAAATGCGGCCCGGGGGCCAGATGTGGCCCGCCAGGCCATTCTATTCGGCCCACGGGGCCCCTAAAAAATTAGAAAATTAATATTTATCTGCCCCTGGCTACCTATCATGCGGCCCTCCATGGCTTGCCAAAACTCAGTAAGTGGCCCTCCACCCAAAATAATTGCCTGCCCCTGATCTAATATATATAATATATATAGTTATCAGTTGAACACAATGTTTTAACTGATATATTTACAATGTTAAAGCAATTTGGAAGCCTACCAGGGCCTCAATAACTATTCTTATATAATAAAAGGGCTTAGTCAGTCTGTCTGTCTGTCCGTAATGCTATTGGAGCACTCTGATTGATTAGTGAAACAACCAATCAGAGTGCAGAGCACCGCCATGATGGCAGGGATGTAGGGTATGGAGCGGAGGCGGAGGGAGGACAAAGCCAGTGGTGCTGGAGGTGATGGCAGCGTGGGGTACTGGCAGAGGAGATGGCAGGGCAAGCTTCCCCCCTCCCTGCCGCTCCTGGGAGGTGGCACCGATGGTACAGGGTGGTGGGTAGCAGTGTTCTGTCCCTGACTGCCTCCCTGCCCATCATTCTTGACAGGCAATTGTTATTTATTTTGATGAGCAAAATAAATTCTAAATACCTATACATTTTGGCGTTTGATTTTGGGTTTCTTATCATGGAAAACCAGAGCTCCCCCTGCCCTCCTTGGTCACCAGGACAGGGGCCAGCTGCGGCTGCCCCCTCTCCTTCTGCTTTGTGGCGCTGAGCAGCCCTGATATGGTGGTGCCCTGCCCATGCCATTGCCCCTCACTCCTGATCCACAGCCCCCTGGCCCTGCTGGCGCCCCTCACTCCACCCACAGCCCCCTGGGCCTTGGGTCCTGCCATGCCCAATGTAGCATAAATACCATATTTTCTCACAATATGCCCTGGAACATGACACAAACCTTGCTTTTGAAAGGCAGAATGAAAAAAACGATCTTTCTTGTACCAAGTATCTGGACAAAGCAGACCAATTAGCTCTGCAGGAAACATTGTGCATTTACATGTGTGACCCTATTAGGTCACAGTAAACTAATTAATTCCACAGAAGGGTAGTACTTGTAAATACAAGCACTATCCTGCTGCAGAGTTTTGGGGGGGGTTTGCTGCGCAGCAATACACGTGTAGAACCTAACCCAGGTGCCTGATCATGCCAGCCAACTGGGGCCATATTTCTACCTGCTGCTGAGCCACATGGCTCGGCAGCTGCAGGGACCTCATGGTGCAACCTGCTCCTCTGCCACCCAGTGCAACCATCCACTGCTCGGGCCCAACTCCCCGTAGCCCCTGACAGCCCGGGACTGCCCCCTAGAACGCAGGCTACACTGCCACTGCCAGCCAGAGCCGGGGCTGACCCTGTGCTCCCTGCCAACCTAAGGCTGTCACCCAGGCAGCTGTAGTAACTATTGTTACTACATTTCCTCACATATAACGCACACTCCAGTTTCCAGCAGCTGTTTTGTCTGGGGAGGGAGGGGGGACAAAAGTGTACGCTGTATAAGAAAATATGGTACTAATATTGTATTCTACACATTCATCTACTAGGAAGGAGCTGGGAATTTCCTAGACTCTGTCATTTACTTTCCTCTCTACTGATACACTTTTTTATTTCAGTTTTTAAAAACTTTTCCACATTGTAACACATCTTTTCTTTTTTTTACTAACTTAAACAAATTGATCATGAAAAGGAAGTTGACCAAAGTAAGTAGTATTGTGCAAAAATCAAAGTACAAACAAGGCAAAGCACTATGAATTCAGAGCCATTTCCAGTCAATGTGTATTTTTCTTTAACCACATCAATACCATTTATTTGCAACACCCTTTTTTATACTGGTCAACATTTTTAAACTTAAATGCTGTTGAGAGATTAAAACAAATGCTTTGGAAAATCACAGAAGTTCTCACAGCTATTGCAAAAATTGATTGCATTCATTCTGCATTATAACTGCTTTTACTAGGATCCCTGTTTGCAGACACTGGATTCACCGTCTGCTTCAGATTTTGCCCAGTCTGGAACATACAAGACTCTTGTTTTTGTGTTCTTTATTAATTCTTAGTTAACCCAACTGTTATATAGTCACAGTCTCTTATAGAGATTCTCCCTGTCAATAAATTTTGCCAGGAAAAGTAG